ATGGTGTCTTCCTGAATAGCAGAATGAGGTTGGACTGGATGGCCCTTGGGGTCTCTTCCAACTCTATGATTCTACGTCAGGCTACACTTATTTACATGCTTGGATAGTACTGCCAAGTGAGACAAATGCCTTTAGAATGCACACATTTCGTGGCCTTTGAGTGAGTCCTGTGCTTTCTTCTTTCTCATTTCAAAGGATGTTGTGAGGATAAAAGTAGTCGTGATAGTGATGTCCCCATGTATTATGGTAATAAAGAGCTCCTAAGCACCTGAGATAGGTAGCTCTACAGGGATTCATGCTGTGGATTGGCAACATCAGTACCACAGGATCAAAGCATAAGCTCAGCTGTGACAAGAGTTCTATCTGAGGTTTAAAAGCTCTGCTTATGTAAATCTTGGGTCTTTTTTCCTCCATGGAGCAATGCTTTTTAAATGTTGGGAAGGATGGGCCTCCTCACTTAATATTCTCCAGCTTTACACAGTGAGGCAGTGCCATTGCAAAGCAGAGATTCTTGAACTGCAGTTACAGTGGGACAAAATTCATACATTTGTGGTCATGGCCCTATGTAACTGCTGGAATGAATGACACTAAAAGCCATGGAGGTCTTCCTAGTGGTGCAGGAAATAACTGCTGAAGTAACACTGAAGCACCCTTCCAACAGTCCCGATTAATCCTCTGTGATCCCAATTTTTCTGCTGATTTAAAAATGGTCCCACTTTCCCCCTGTGTCCTCAGCTTACTTCAATTGCTTCAAACGGAATTCAAAGTGCAAAAGCAGCTTGCATTCACTTGCACTCAACTCAGCAGAATCTTGCCCTTCCTCCCAGTAGGCTCAGGCAAAAGCAAACTGCTGCAACCTCTCCAAGCTTGTGTGTTTTTCCTCATTAATAACTTTTGCCATTTTGACTATGCTCTGATGTCGCTTGGCTCAATTGTGCTCTGTGAAATGTTGGAGGGTTTACACTAACCATTTTCAAAATAGCTTAACTAAAAGTAACTACTACCTTAACAGTGCAATCCCATGCATTAATATATATATTATATATAAAGTATGTGTGACTGAGAGAGAAGTAGTTCCAATGAATTCAGCATAATACAGCCCCATGTGAATGTTGTAGCCTCCCAAATGTAGTTGTTACAACTACATTTGGGAGGCTACAACATTCACATGGGGCTGAATTATGCTGAATTCATTGGAACTACTTCTCTCTCAGACATATACACTGTATATATAGTCCTGATCCTGAATTTTATGGAATTCACGGGAACTGCATACCCACACACAGGAACTACACATATAAGAACTATTTATATATAGTAGGTCCAATGAATTCAACATAATTCAGTCTGACATAAATGTTGCAGCTTCCCAAATGTAGCTGTTATTAGGCATTAGTATTCTAATAGCAGTAACTCCAACTACTTCTGTAATTACTTTGAAGTAGGTAAATAAGTGTGAGCGTGTCTATGTTACCCACTGTCCCCCCCCCCCCAGCTATGGACTGATAATTTAAATTTCAGAAAGAATTGTTAAATAAGTCAAATAAAAATTGCTTATTTATTTATCCTATACCCACATCCTATATTAGTTAAACTTTATAAAATATACGGAAAGCAACTTGAATTTCATTAATTAAATATGTCTAGCCTGCCTTTCTCCAAAGATCTCAGAGCAGGTTACAGCAAAATCAACTTAAAACAATAAATAAGTACAAGCGTTTCAAATATTAAAAATATATAAAAAATATTTCTCAATTTAAAAACAGAAAATTTAAAATAGGTGTAAACAACCTGCGAATAATACGATCATAAAACATGTGCAGCCTCGATAAAATCAGCTTAGCCTGAAGGCTTTAGTAAAAACCCAAGTTTTAACTTGGCACCAAAAACGATTCTAATGCTGGAACCAAGCAGGTCTCCAGTGGGAGGGAATGCCACAACTAGGGTCCACCCCGAGAAAAAGCCCTCTGATTATCTTTGCAATTCTCTTGTAATGGATGAAAATTCTCACAGTTGTTAGTAGTTCAATTACAATTGCATACTATCAACAAAATGCTTTAATTGCAAACTACTTTTCATAAAATAGCTTACATTGCTTTTTTACTCCATGAAAAATAACTTAACTACTGGTTTCAGTTAAATAAACTACAACCTAACATTTAGCTTAGGTCCCCAGAGAGATCTTGTTGCCGTGTGGGTATTTCCCATACAACCTGAACAACTATGAGGGAG